TAAGTATTCTGTTAGAACTTAATGATTATACTAATTATATTTTAGATTTTTTATATTTAAAATGAGATGTTTATCATGTATTTGATTGTGTTTATTTGCACTTAGTTACACGTATTCAGATATGGGATGAAATCGGATAGGGATGAAATCATTTAGGGATGAACGTGTTTAAGAGTTTTAGCCAAATGCTTTATAATATTGTGTGTGTGTGTGTGTATATATATATATATATATATAATTATTAACACAAACCATACAAACAGATCTCAAACGTTCATTTAGTCTAATAAATATCGGATTCAATGAATATCTCGATTGTTTCTTAATATAAAACGCCGATCATAATAATGAACTCTGATAATCTTTTATAAATATTCAGATAATAATAAATAAACTCTCATTATTTTTATAAATATCTCAAATAATTGGTTTATACTAAGGTCCCGTTTAGTTTGCATGAATGGGAATGGATTTTGGGATATTTAGATTTTAAATCCATTTCAATCTCATGTTGGTTTGTTGGATTGTCCGGATTTAAAATTCTAGGATTTAATTGAAATCCTACAAATATAGGATTTTGAAATCCTTAAAGGATGCTCTAGATTTCATAGGATTGTATGCATTAAGGTTTCAAAAAATGTTAAAAACATTTGTTTTGTAATAATTAATTATTAAAAATATAATTTAATTATTTTTATAATTATTTATAAATAATGAATTTCATTTCATTTCAAATCAAACACATCAATGATCTCAAACCCATTCCAATCCAAATCTCTTTAAGAAATCTAAATCCTTAAAAAACAATCTTACAAGCTAAACATTTACCAATAGAAATGTTGGTAAATGATCCACACTCTCTCTCTCTCTCTCTCTCTCTCTCTCTGTGTGTGTGTGTGTGTGTGTGTGTGTGTGTGTGTGTGTGTGTGTGTGTGTGTGTGTGTGTGTGTGTGCAGCAGTTGGCTGGAACACGGAATATATGAAAAAGATTAAGAAATATTTGAACCCTTTTTTTTCCGCCGACTCTTTGGCCTTAAAAACGCTAGTATTGAATTTTGAAACATCAATTAATCAGTCGTATCATGTGGCTTTGGAAATAATATTAAAAGAATTGAATAGTCATTGTATGATTAAAATAAAATAACCGCCTATTTTATATATATATATATATATATATATATATATTAATTATTTCATAAGTTTATGATATCAGTACTCTTTTGACCTAAATATTTCTTTTAACTAAAATAACTTTCATTAATTAATCAATTGATGCATGTGGTCGGGGTGGGGCTCTTGCCTCCAACAAATATTTTTGTTTTCTCATACATCTAAGTGATGGAAAAACAATTATAAAGGTTGTTTGATAGTTGTTGAATTATTTGTTGTAGAATCATTAAAAGACTTTTATGATGTAGTATAAAATGAAATATAATTGTTTGGTAATTATTTAAAATGAAAATAGGGCGCTTAATGTTTATGGAGGGTCATTATACAAAATCATTCAGAGAATTTTAGAACTATTAAGAGACATTTTTTTTGTCAAACAAAATTTACCTTTTAATAATTCAAATTTTACTTCTTAATAAAACTATTAAAAGTTAAACAAACAACTCTTTAGTTACAAACTATAAGACCCCGTTAATTAAACTCCAATACTATTAACTCTCAAGATTTTGACCTAACTAAATTCATTTTATTTTTCCTATTTTATTTATTATAATATTAATAATCAGACAAATCATTATTTGTGGTTGTTTTATTTTATATATTTGTATGTATTGTTATTTATTAATTGTTATTTTATTTAGTGATATATAGTTTATTTATTTTCATTTATATGTTGGTTTGCTTTTTATTTATGATTTTTTTCGCTATATAATTTATTTCTGACGATTTTTTTTAAGTATTAGAAGAGTACTCGCGCAATGCAGCGAGACACATCTTGATTTTAATGTTCTATTTTATTATTTGTCTATGTCGATATTATAATACGATTTTATGAGCTTTT